GACTGTGCAAAGCTGCAGAAAAGCACTATGACCACAGATGACTTGTGATAAAATGGCAGATGAAGTTCCATGTAGGACACTGCAAAATGGTGACATAATTACTTAAACTGATAAGGACTGTTCAGGATTAAAATAATGATTCCATGAAGATGTCAGCTCCATATCCAGTAAGAGGTCAAAAAAGCAACTGAATTATTTGGAAAGGACTAGAGAACACATCAAAGCACACTTCAAAAAATGAGTGGTGAACCAGCATTTTTAATAACATGGGCAGTTTTTGTTCTCTCATCTCTGAAAGGATGAAGCAGACTTAGAAAAATTATAGAAAAGGGTATAAAGAAAGGTAAGAAAAGTTTCTTTATGAAGAATGTGCAAATAGGCCTCTTCAAGTTGCATGTGTCCTTCAACTCTTTCCTTCTTCCCTACCTCCTCTGTATGAATTCCTCTCCCTCTCACATTACTGTGTTCTTAGCAACCTTCCACAGTCTTCCCAGACCTGCAGACAAATGGAGGGTTTGAAATACAAGCTGTTGGGATTCTTTTTCCCCTCACTCAGAGTTAGAGGGAGGACTTCTGCTCTTCCCACATTTCCTCTCCAAGGCAGGAGATGCACAAGGATTCACTGCCCTAATATACAAATATTTTAAAAAATCCTTTTAATTTTTTACCTCTTTCCTGCATCACAGCCTTGTCAACATGGTTTTTACTGATTATCAGACATTGACTTGCTCAGTTTGCACTGCTTTCAGTGCAGAGCTGTGAATTAGGAACTACAGTGACAGATTGTCCCACCTTGGAATTACTTTCAGAGCTGATTGTAAACTCCCATTTTACAGCTTACAGAGACCTATGCCTACTGCTTTTCCCTGATGGTGAGGCAATACTACTCTTTAAACATGTTTCAGTCTTACCCCTCCTTATGGGAAGCTGATGTCACTTATTTGGAAACTACAAGGTACTACAATTGCCGTGGGTGCAAATATCCGGACTGCTTCATCTTAAAATTTATCTCTGACCAGTTTTGACTCTGATAGAAATTCACTCCAACTTAAGAGACGTGTTCATGGATTTCCACTCATTTGAGCCAAAGACAATCACCCAATTACCAAAAAATCCACCTCAAGGACCTGTAAACCAAAGTTCACTTCAGGGGAATGCGACTGACAGGCTGCAGGCTGTAAGCTGCCCTTTATATAGGTTCTACAAAGATTTTCCATGAGGTGCAGATCAATTCATTCCTATGACCTTCTACACAGAAGTCTTTCCTTGCCAGAAATTATTTGGTTTTTACACTGTCTATAGGAAGTGTCCACTTATACAGATTAGGTAGAATTCTCCTTTGCTTGGTTCCCTACAGTCTGAAACACGCATCTTCATTAACTTAGTGTCATGTATTTTTTTGAACACTAAAAACCTAATGGAAGGCTGAGTGTAGTACTGTGGAAAAAAGATTGCCAGTCACTATAAAAATGCAAAACACAACCAAGAGAGGGTGCTTTAATTTCAGATAGACAGCTGTAAAATTGCTTAGCAAAGATAGTTGGAAATTTGCTTGTACTTCTTCCCAATTGCAATGCAGAGGTGAATGGCTGTGTACTGATAAAGCCATCTGTCTTGTGGGTGCCTGGAGGAAGCCTCTGCACCAAAGCAATATTGCCAGTTTTACAGTTAATATCCTGGTGCACAATACTCTTGAGCTGAGAGTTGGATCGCAGACATTTCCGCTGCCTTAGGGCATCCCAGAAAACAGCAGGCTTGGTTGTAATGACTCTTACTCAAAAGCACAGGCTACTGGAAAGGGGATGAATAATGCTGCAGGGCTTAATGGCAATGCTACCACACCATTCCATGCAGTGAGATAGTATTCAGGCTCACGGACTCAGATTTGAACCAAGAGAAGAGAAAGAACTGTGAGTAGAATGCTTTCGTTGGGTAGGTTTTTCAGATGATGTGCACACTCTGGAGTGCTGGTTTTGGCTGGGGTAGAGTTAATTCACAGTAGCTGGCATGATTTGCGCTGAAAACAGGGTTGATAATTGTATTGAGTTTGTGTGGCCAGGTTTTGATAGTGGGGGGGCTACAAGGGTGGCTTCTGTGAGAAGCTGCCAGAAGCTTCCTCCATGTCCAGCAGAGACAATGCCAGCCAGTTCCAGGATGGATTTGCTGCTGGCGAAGGCTGAGCCCATCAGGAATGACAGTAATGCCTCTGTGATAACATATTTAAGAAGGAAAAAAAGATTATTGAGCAGATGTAACTGCAGCCAAAGAAGAGCAGACTGAGAGTATGTGAGAGGAACAACTCTGCAGGCACCAAAGTCAGTGGAGAAGGAGGGGAGGAGGTGCTCCAGGTGCTGGAGCTGAGGTTCCCCAGCAGCCTGTGGTGCAGACTGTTGCGAGGCAGCTGTGACCCTGCAGCCCATGGAAGTCAGTGGGAGTGCAGGGATCCACCTGCAGCCTGTGGAGGAGACTCATGCTGGAGCAGGTGGATGCCTGAGAGGGCTGTGAATCTGTGGGAAATCTGTACTGTAGCAGGGTCCTGGCAGAGACCTGCTGACATGTGGAGAACCCATGCTGGAGTAGATTTTCCTGCTAGGACTTGTGGCCCTGTGGATGACCCATGCTGGAGAAGCCTGTGCCTGAAGGACTGCATCTGTGAAGAGTGACCCATGTTGCATCAGTTTGTCAACTGTTGCCCATGACTCATGCTGGAGAAATTCATGGAGGAGTCTCCCACAGGAATGGCCCCATGGAAGCAGGGGAAGGATGCCTCTCCCTGAGAAGCAGAAGAAACAACCTGCGATGAACTGAACACAAACCTCATTCCCCATCCCCCTCCACCGCTGAGGAGGAGGTAGAACTTAGAAAGGAGGGAGGGGTGCAGGGAAGGTGCTTTCAAGATTTTACTTCTCATTATCCTGCTCTGATTTTGTTAGTAATAAATTTAATTAATATCCCCATTTTGACTCCGTTTTGCCTGCAACAGTAATCAGTGAGCGATCTCTCCTGGTCTTTATCTCAACTCCTGAACCTTTTGTTTTATTTTCTCTCTGCTGTCCAGTTACAGAGGGGAGGGAGTGACAGAACTGCTTTGGTGGGTAGCTGGCACCAGCCAGAGTCGATCCACTACAATAATACAGGGGTATTTTCATTATTGCTGAGCAGTGCTCACACAGCCAAGGCCTTTTTTGTTCCTCACCTCATCCCACCAGTGAGGAGGCTAGAGATGCACAGGGAGTTCACAGGGGACACAGCCAGGACAGCTGACTCCAACTGATCCAAGGGACATCCTAAGCCATATGGGGTCATGCTCAGCATAAAAAGCTGGGGGAAGGAGGGGACATTCGTAGTGATGGTGTTTTTCACTGTTACATGTGATGGAGCCCTACTTTCCTGGGGATAGCCAAACATCTGCCTACCTGAGGTTAAGTGGTGAATGAATTCCTTGTTCTGCTTTGCTTGTGTGCACGGCTTTTGCTTTACCTATTAAACTATCTTTATCTCAACCTACAAGTTTCCTCACTTTTGCTCTTCTGATTCTCTCCCTTATCCTGCTATGGGGAGAGCGACTGGCTGTGTGGTGAGGAGGTGCTGACTGGGGTTAAACCACAACACCTGGATGTTCACAAAGAATGACAACAACAATTCATGGGCTCAGCAAAATAGAAAAAAGTGGAAAAGACTGTCCTACTTGGGTATCTAAGAAATAATGTTATGTTTTTTAATTATTATTATGGGGTTTTTTTTGGACGCCCTTGGTTGGCTTCAAACAAAATGCCATTCAAGAGACTGCTGTACAAAGCATCTATGATTTCCGGACAGCAGTAATTCCTATGATCAGCCAACAGGAGCTGCATCAAGGTTGACAGAGAAAACCCTTAGTTATTATCCAAAAGACTAATAATCCTCTTAGAAATACTTGCTCAGTGCCATCTCATCTTTATGACTTTTACCTCAATAGTTTCCCACCACTCTCATTTGAAAGTGCAAGTCTCAGGTTATCTACGAGAATGCTGTTAAGCACTCTTAAGCACTCTCTAAGAGCAGAATGGGCCTATGAATCACCATTGCAACCTACATGGGAAAAGCTACACTCATGTAGTCCCATGTCTCCTTCCCTCCCGCTCACACCACCTCAGTAAGTCACTGTTGCCAGATGCTTCCCAGGATCTGCCTGTTTTCAAAATCTCACCCTATGGTACCTGCAGAGTAGTTTGAGACCACTTTTCACTCTGCAAGGCCTTGCAAATTATGGAAAAAGTAGATGGGCAGGGGACTTTTACAAACAAAACAGTCAGCAAAGTCTTTGTGCCTCAGGTACCCTCACAAGGACACCTGATCTGCTTTTGGCTTGGTACTGAACTTGGATGTTTTTTGCTTATGCATAAGGAAATCAGACTGAAAGAAAGCATAATGCCAGGGCAGTGTGACAAATGCTTTTTTTTTTTTTTTTTCCACAAGACTTCCAGTGTAGGGGAGAATTATGGAACCTTTTGCAATCCTGCAAGACATGTTCTGTATCAGCAGTGAGCCAGAATCTGGGAGCTGAAGGCTCTATGCTATTCGTCTGCAAGGGCTTTATACAGGCCACAGTTCAGTATCTCCAATGAATCCTCACACTGACCTTATCTTAGGATTTAGACAGTGAATGCTGATACTGACAGTGAACACACCTGTGCTGTGGCCTGGAAATCTACTCAGAGAACGGCTTCTGTAAAAAACTGAATGTTTACGTATTCCTACTATAAAACTGTGAATGCAACTTCATAAGTAAACTTCTACATCTCAGACCTGGTTTTTTTTCATCAGTAGCTAATGAAGTTATTGAAGGGATCTTCTTTCCGTTACCAGCTGGAAGAAATGCAACACAACAGATAATGCACACACAAAGCACCCTTATAACTAATATTAAGGATCACATCTTGCAGAAAAGAGAAAAAATACAAATTTTTCTCTGATAATTTCTTAAAAATAAAGAATCTTACAAAACAATCATTCTTAACTAATCCCCCACAGAGCAACAAATTGAAAACATGTAAGAGAAATTTGAGAGGCTATTTACTTTGAATACAGGCTATTTACTTTAAATGCATTTCAATTGTTCTGCTTCCCCTTAAACACACTTTAAAACACAATTTTACAGTTTTTTTATAGTGTCTTTAGTTTGGAATCTTACTCTTATCTAAAAAGTATTAAAGCTTGTTCTTGTAGAAAACTGAAGAAATACTTGTTGACAACCATTACCCTTAGTGTCACGTGACTTTCTGATCAAAACAAAAAGAGCATATAATGCAACAAATACACCTTAAATAAATTAGAAATCCACTAGATGATCTCAGCTTTCTGTTTTCAAAAAGAAGGTACAAACAGGGAATCATGACTGAGTAATATTATTCCTCTTTTAATCCCATAAAGATTAGTACTAGAGCTTGACACCATTCAGCATTTTTACTGACAATCTGGAAGCAAACATGGAATCACTGTCGGTAAAATTTGCAGATGTCACCGAGATTAACAGACAGTCAATACTAATGCAAGTAGTACATGCACACAAAACAATCCATCATTTATTAATCTATACATAGTAAAAAAAAATTAAAGTTAATACAGCCAAACAGAAAGACAGATATTTATGAACACAAAGTATAGAACCAAGGACTAAATACTGGAAAGCAATAAATTTCAAGTGTACTTGTCTACCATGAAAAATAATTCAACATGGACTTCCTGTACAATACTATGGCAAGAAGTTGATCCAAACCTAATGAAACATTGAGTGCAAAAGATGGCACTGATGAGATTTTAAATGAAGTTCTGTGCTCAGGTCTTGTACACTTGTTTTCTAAATGGTGGGACAAAATGGAGAAAATGTATGAGAGAGCCATAAAACCAAGATGAGGGCTGTAGGAAATACCTTAAATAAAATAATTTAAAGGGATAATATTAGGGTAGCAAAAAGGTTGCCCTGTAGCTTGATTACAGTGTTCAAAAACTTTTGCAGACAGAGAACAGTGGGTAGCAAGGGACTACTTAATCTAGTGAAGAAAAGCATATGAAGAACTAATGTCTGAAAGTTAAATCTAGACAAATTCAAATTTAAAATAAGGCACATGATTTTAAGTGTGAAAGTGACTGAATATTGGAATAAATGACCAGAGAAGGGGCTAAGTCTTCATTTCTTGATATCTTTAAATCAAGCTCGCCTGTCTCTGCAGATAACTTGCTTTAGCAAAAACCACAAACTGTGCTTCTGTCAGATTAAAGTAAAGGGAAAACTTATGACCAGGGATCTAGATGGGGTCAGAAAAGATAATCTCATGTCCTTTTCAGTTTTACCCTTTATGAATCTATCAATCTATTGAATGAGTATAAAGAAAAACTGACTGACTTTTGCCATCTGGATAACAATGTGCTCTGTAGCAGACTGTAAATCATAAAGTAATAAATATGTGCAAGAAACTATTGAGATGAATATATTCTTGCAATGTCTTCTAATTTAGAAATTTAGAGTTATTTAATATTTTACACATTAATTTTATTCTGGATAATTGAATTAAGGTGAAAGGGTTAAGCAGACAGGCTAATGAAACACTGTGCCATGTACTTAGCTTAATGTGGTTGGAGAAAATCAATGGACTTTGGTCTGTCAGTTTGCATCACACATTTAATTGAATAACATGTCAGGTATTTTAAACTGTTTACCAATGTAAATGGAATCCAGCACTACAGTCATAAGCCAAGCTGCTTTCCCTGAATTCCAATCAGATTGGAACATGACCTTCATTTTAAGTTCCCTCATGACAGACAGAGATCACACAGCCATCATTGTGTCTACAGGGTTTAGTGATTAGTCCTGTGACTCTGAAAAGAAATATATTTGCTATTGATTCCCTCTCTAGAACACAGGTAATAGCTGATCAGTTTGATATTCCTAGCAATGGTTACTCCTTCTTTGTGCATTTATATTCACTTCCACTTGATTATTGTCATTGGGAGGAGGAATAAATCACACAGCAAGCTTTTACTGAGTCTACCTGAGAAGTGGTGGAGGCTGCTTTGTGCATGATCACATGAAGGGAAGATGAGGAAGAGAAGAAGCATCCCCTCAGTTTGTTTTATGTGAGTTCCAGCCACAGATGCACAACACCTCCATACTCTTCTTTTTCTCCCTTTTATCACTCTTCAGGTAGTCGCTTCCCAAGAGGAGACAGGAAAGCAACAAGAAGAGGGCGTCACAGCCCTGTTCAAGCTGAAGGAGCTTGTCATTGCCAGACCAGAAACAAGAGCAGGCGATGTTTTGGTCATGCAACATGCACATTCCTGTCCTTTTCTCAGATGAAGCAAATCAACTTTTTTTTTAACAGGATCCAGATGCCTGCAATGCAGATGTTTCCATCTGACTTATGTGTTTATGCCCCCAAAACAGTCAACATGAAGATCTAAGCGCTTCCATTGGTACCCTTATTCCTATTCTAAAACAGATGTCCAGCAGCAATCAGTTATATTGCCCTATACGAGTATCTATTTAATCCCAGTGATCAGAAAGTTCTTTAGGATAGGCAGCTCAGATGGAAACATTAACACTATAGACATCTGAAATCAAGGAAAAATGAATTCCACCCTGCATGCCTCCAAGCTCTCCTTAGCAACCTGCAGAAGAGCACTGGTTCCAAAGTGACGGCCAGGGAGAATCAAGTCCCTGTTTTACCAGACTGATCATGTGTACAGTGTAAGATTATGAAGCTATTTTAAACTATCAGCAGTCTTTCCTACATTTTCAAGCATGGTCTCAATTGTAGTTAAGTCTACTCCATTTCCCCAGCAGACTGTCACCTCAGATGTAACAGGAACTTGTTGTGCTGGGTGCTGTGCAGCAGGGCAAATCCTGCATGAAACTTATACTTGCTTAGGAAAGGAGAAAACAGGGAGAAAACAGGCAGATTGATGTGGGAGTACACAGACAATAAGGCAACATTAGTCAGCACAGTAGGCAGTGGTCCTAGCATACTGGCCAAGCTTTTGGGCAGCATCACAATAAAGAAGAGCTTCAAAGAAGGAAAGGAAGACAGCAGAAAGACTGTTCTGTAGAGAGCTGTGGGGAAAAAGCACAAATGTGTAAACCTGAAGATAAAGAAAATGCGTGAGGGAAGCTAATACCAGAGGCTGACAGGGTTGGAGGAATCATCTGTGTGCTGAATGAGGGACTGAGAAGACTGGCAAAGATCTTGAAAGGGAAGAGAAGCAGCCTCTACCTTTATGCAACCTATAGCACCCTAGAGTTGATGCAAAAGAAAAGTAGGTATTGAACCACAGCTTTGTTGCTTCTCTTTGTGCAGTTCTCTTCAATCTTAGATAACACTTTTTTTTCATTATAAATCCTAAACCAGGATGTAATTTTACAGTAATAATGTAAAAGAGAACTACAGTTTGCTTATACATTTTACAAGAGTATGCAGTTCATTAAAATGACTACAGACTATTAATTCTACAAAGTAAGCATTCAACTTGAAGAACATCCTTATTAAAGCTATATATTTGACCTTCAGTGACTGTGGTGCATATGCAGTGTTTTCAAACAATCACAGAATATATAGCTAATCACAGAATATATAGCTTTTTCCTATATCCTTACAGGGAAAAAAATACAGCATCTGTAAACTTCTGGTTTTTTTTAATATGTATGTGCTCCTGTCCCCTTAGTTCAGCATATATCTAACAGCTGAAAACAATAAATAGAAGTTTACTTATATGCAATGCAGAGGATAGAGTAGTAAACAGTGAAGCTTAATTAGCTGCATAAACACGTGCAATGCAGCCCTCCTTGGGTGCAATCTAGGGCTGAAGCAATTAATTATGAAGCCTGCATAGCTATAACCTGAGGTTTGCCTAAATATTAAATGTAATACATTTTCCCAATCATGCAGTTTGCTGTCGTTTTCACTACCACTCTTTGTTATTATTCTTAATGTGTAGCATACTGTATAACACACACCACTTTTCACTCTTCATCTGTGGACTGGTTTTATGATATACCTGGTATTACTGGACAACATCTGTTTTCTTTGGTCAAAGACAGCTTAAAATCTTTTGCTTTTATGCTGCCATTCACCACTTTTTTTCCTTCCTTGTCTGGTTTTTTTCTTTTATTTTTTTCCCCAGATGTCATTTCAGAGATTCAGCCTATTGAGCAGTGGTGCAGGAGAGAAAACTCAGCTGTCATAGAAAACATATTAAGGAATTTAACTCTACGTGATTGTAAAGCACTATATAAAATATTGCACCACTTACAAAGCAGTAAAAAATCTGTAACATTAGAGACTGATTCCCACATTACATATCCACAAAAGAGAAAAATTAAGGTCTTACAGGCAATTTTAAGAATAAAACATGTACCTATATATAGAGATAATGGCTTTGAACTCATAGCCTTGCATACAAGTGTAGTGACCAGCTATTCACTACCACAAATTACTTCAGCCTCTATGGCCTTCCTTGTACACTCTGGTAAGGGACCACCACCTATTCAGAGCACGATTTCTCTCTCACTGTGCTGCTGCTCCTTACTTACTGTGCAGTGCTCAATTATGCAAACTACAAAGTTTACTCTTGACACATGCAGGTTACTTTCCAGTTGATCCTTAAATTCTTCCTGTTCTTGGAGTCTATGTAGGTTTTCAAAACAAAATTTTGAAGTTCTGTCTTCCCAGAAGTTTTAAATAGTCTGAAGTTTTCTGATGCAAAGTCCATTTAAAAAGCTCTTCCATGCCTCAGAAATTCCATGTTGCTGTACATCCATTAAACCAAATGATGCTGAAGTAGAAAAAAATTCAAGGCAATCTCCTTTGCCATTTATAAGCTTAGCATGAAAATCCAAAAGGATCCATGTTTCATTGCTATGTTGAAGGAGCCCTGTATAATGAAAGGCAGACCACAATATTCATTGGTGGATATTAATTTATATATTTCAGTTTTCATATCCCAGCCGTGTTGGTTATACTACTGCTCAAATAAACCTGAAAAGCTGTAGGAAGATTGAGTACCATTACTTTTAGAGAAGAAGTACAGAAAAGTGACTAGGTATTAAAATCCTGATGTATGAAATCTTTTTTGACTGCAAATAGGATGTTAAACATGGAACCTCTGCCATTTTTAGTACACTGCCTAATTTACATTAATATAAGTAATGTCCACTTCTTTTGCTATTAAACTAGATTTTCTGCTCTGTTCTTTTGTGTATTGCTCTTAAGTGTCCCTATGCATGTTGCAAATCAGCACACTGTTGTTTGGCACGTTTGATTCAGAAACAAATACACTCTTATGCAATTGCATTTATCTACAGTTACAGTCTACAATTTATCTGCTTGAATATGGTCCAATTTTCTAAACTCTTCAACATACTTTATCCTCTACTCCTCATAATCCCTGTTAGTGTAATAGTGGCAGGTTTGATAAGTGTAAGCTTCAGCTCCTATCACAGGTCATTTACAAAGGCATCAGATATCACCAAATACCTCGCTACGCTCTGAAACTGCTCCCAGGCTTGCTTTTGCTGGGGCCAGCTGATTTCTACACAGAATACAAAGCTCTTACAGTGGTAAAAGCAAAGGGAAAAAAAGAGAGACTGAAAGCAATCTTCTCTCCATTATTACCTGATTCAAGCAAAGTACATTTTTGACCTGAGAAATTTTACTCACATTCTGGGATAATACAAAATTTTACCCTGCTTGAGCAGGGAGGTTGGACCAGATGACCCCACTGTGGTCCCTTCCAGCATTACCCATTCTGTGATTCTATGAAAATATATCTGTTTGGCAAAGATACCAAAACATGCTCCTCTATATGAAGCTATTTAGAATTCAGTGGTATTTTAAAAATCCCTTTAATACTGAGCAACCTAATCTAGTGGAAGGTCTCCCCGCCCATGGCAGGGGGATTGGAGCTTGATGATCTTTATGGTCCCTTCTAACTCAAACCATTCTATGTTTATGAGAAACGACCAAGCACTGAAAGGGAAATACTAAAGAAGTGAAATTAAAGCAATAAACAAAGGTGTGACATGAGTGCATGAGTGCTTGGCAGGTGAGTGTGTGAACGTGTGTCAGGCTGGAGCAGCTGGTGAGTTAAGAGGGACCAGGATCCAGTCAGGGAAATGAGACACACTGGGGTCCTGTGCTGGTATTCAAGGGATCAAAGGCCTGTGTAGTCATCCATGTGAGTGTTGTGTGTGTCCCCAAGATCCGTGCTAAGCATCACTATTGTTTGAACCTGGAAACGTGAAAGCTGCACTCAGCTACACTGGCATGCGAGGGACACATCCAGATCTCCAGGTGCACCAGCCTGGGATCCAGAGGACAAAGAGGGGAATTGACAGGTCCTGGGGTCCACCCAAGGCATCAGCCTTATAACATCCCTCAGCACAGTCACTCAAGTATCAGGAAATGCAGGCATTACAATGGTTTTTGTGGTCCTTATTTGACCTGGTTTGTACTTGTATTTCAAAATTCTGTCTTTAATTACATGACCTCCTTTATTTTTTTCATATTCAGTGTTTAGGACAGATGATGTTTACAATGAGTTGCTGTGTATTCTTTTTTGTAGTTCCTAGGCCTCATTTACTGAGTGACATTCAAACCTTAATCCGAGGATGAAGTGATTCATTTCCCACGGGTCTGTTAAGAGAGTATCTAGGTGCTTCACATCAAAGTGGTATTTTCTTCTTTCTCCAGATGTGGGACTGAGGCACACAGGATCTCAGTCACATCTACAGTTCACTGCCTATGTGTTAGCAACTAAGGAGCACTAAAGCAGAGAACACCCCTCTGCAAAGTCTGGTTTACAGATCTTTCCTTACTGATACAGACCAAACTCAAGCTCTTCAGAGCTGCACACGGCTGCCATAGCAACAAGACTAGTTTTTCTGCACCTGCAGAAATAGCACCTTTGGTGTGCTATTGAGCCTCTTTTAGCTTCTTCAATAAATGAGAAAGAGATATGATTGTATTTTTATTAGAAATTCTTGAGCATCCCTAAACCAATGCCTTGCAAAAGGATATATCAGGCAACATAATAAAAAATAAAAAAAAAGCAAAAAGCCATGCCATGTTTATATAGTTTCATCAATACTATATGTCCAAGTACATGTTGGAGGAGATAAAATACGTTGCCCCTATCTTATTGATGAGGAAGCTAACACGCCAAGATAGAAGACCAGATGAATGACTCAGCTGAGAGCTCTTACTTGCAAAGTATTTTTTAATTCAGGATTCCAAAATATTTTACAACCATGGATATTATTTACAGTATTATCTACACATGGATAAATTCAGCTGCAGAAAGACTACACAGTAGTAGACAGATTACACAGTAATCAGTGAGAGAACCCAGTCCCACAACTCTGCAGTCAGTGACGCCCATCAGATTGTAACAGGCTTAGCCATGGAACAGTTCTGAAAATGCCATCCAAGTTTCTGCATAACTCCAAACAGTACCTACATGACCCACCTGTAGAAATACATCTATTTCCACAATTTAGCAGTTTATTCAGCAAAAATACGTTCCTCAGATGTGTTGTTGCTTAGGTTTAAATATAAAAAAATATAGTTCTGTTTTCCAAGCAAGCAGACATACAAAAAAGTCAAAAAATATAATTTCCAGAAAGGAATTTTCACAAACAAAATTCACAACAAATATTCACAAACAAAAAAGGAAATACTATTGTTCTTAAAGTCCCTTATCCTAAAGAGATATCAAAATGTCACACGTAGAAGCCTCAGGTCACACAGCATGCGGATATTCCCAACCAACCAAACACAAAAGTCACATGTAGTTTTACCATGTTTACTGTCTTCTGAAGTTTGTAACACAATAAAACATTCCTTTACCTGAAGCTGTAGAGTGTGTATTGATACTGCTCTTCCTGAACAATTGCTACTTTGGTTATGAGTTTGTATATTAAACTGTAACCCTGTGCATACAGATGCAGGTAAGGCTTTATTTCCTGTTCTTCACGGGAAGGATATCTGTAATCCAGTAATGAAACAGAGACGTGGCTACCTTAGTATGATCTGAAACAAAGAAAACACATTCCTCTTGAAATAACTCCATGACATTTCTGAACAAGAAAGTCTTGCGTGACCATTTGTTTTCATTCAATATTAGCATTTCAGTAGAACCAGTGAAGATACTGGAGATTGAATACCTATGAATTTCTATATAAGCAGCTGCACTTTATTTTAGGAGGTCAGTCATTTGCATGAGAAAATTTTGTTCCTATATTCTGAAATGTCCTATTTGTTATGATTCAATAATTCAGAAAAAAAGGAAGTTGAAATGACATGATCATTGGGTAAGGCTAAAAGAGTGCATCTCCACTTCTTTCTGTCTGGAGAGTGATTTCACACATCACTATTGAACTTACAGTAGCACTTAGAAGACCCAGTTGAGAATGAGTCATCTTGTACAGACAGCTGCACTAAAGTCTCAAAATGCTACGACTTCTGTCTTAATTTAGAGATTACCTATGTGACTTTATTGATTTCTAATGACTGGACTTTTCACAGCACTTATCACGTCATAATCACATTCAAAATGACTCCATAATGTTATGCTAATATAGTTTTCAAACTCCTTTTCCTTTTCTTTGAATGCTACTTCATAAAAAGAAGTGTAAATTTAATCATTTTAAGGCCCCTGTGTATCAGCGTCTGCACTGTAGGCACACAGCAACTGCATTATTTCTGGTCTCCAAATTGTATCTCCCCCTGCAATGAAGACATATATAAAGGACAGCTCTCCCAAAAAAGGCAGATAAAAGAAGCTTCGAGCTCTGCCATGAGTGATAATTTCCTAGGCAACAAGGGAAGAGTATGTTTGAGATTTTAAACTAACCAACAAAGAGAAAACATTAATAGATAATGGAATGAAGTTGATGAGTAGAAGTTCATAAATCAGTTCATAAATTAGGAGATACTGACTTTTTTTTAATTAGGCGATCACCTATGCTTTAATAATTGACGTGAAATAGGAATTAAGTAGCTCTCATTTCAACAGCTACAGTTTCCAGCCAGCGAAGGGAGCACTACTTCCAGTCACAACTCTTGTCCTTTGCCCACTGCAGGGTGCAGGACCATGATGGTCTCTGGTTTCCTTTTGCAAACGGACACTGACTTTCTGACAGAGATTGGCAAAGCCCCCCTCACAAGAAATCCGTATCTGTGTGACCTCTAAACATTCTCTTCCCTGCACTTACAGAAGATTTTAGGTAGCGGTAAGTACTTTTTGTTAACGACTACCAAATAAATGCAATCACAGGACGTTTTGTTGTCTTTTACAGTCTGAGAACAATGACACTTCAAATAATTATGTTCACACAAACACCCCTGACCAACCTCAACTTTGTATGATCACTGAAGTGCAAGGTCAACTTGACAGAGTAATATGAAGCACGAAGTACATGGTAAGTTGTTGGAGGATGACAACTAGAGAGAACAACAAGAATCTCTTGACCAGAGACTTTCTTATTTAAATATGTTTTCTCATTTAAATGAAGGGTTAAAGATAATACCTAATGTTGATAATTTTTCTTTTTCAATTTTTCTCTAGTAACTTCCTTGATATGACTGTAAATATCGGGATCTAGGAGCTTAAGATAAAGCAGAAAATTATTTCTTCATTGTTTCTTCTTTCTTTTGGTTGTGCCACGATTCCCAATATGAATAACATGCTAAGAGATGTGAAGGAAATACCAAACCATGGTATTAAACCAGTGATTTTCAATGTGTGATCTGCAGACCTTGTGCAGCCCCATGGCTTTATTTAAGGGTTCTGTAAAAAGTTGCTCTGAGAAGAAAATTTATCATAAGTAGGCATAAACTTGGTAACCCCAGTGTAAAGTTAGATGAAACCATAACATATATATACACAAGGAAATAAAAGACATATAATAGTATGTATAATTTGTAAATTTTACTAAAGGAGAATGTGCACTTATATGAAAGAGATGGATCACTTCTTGTTCTTTTCTTATTCTTCTCTTCCTGGAATTAAAGATAAAACTGAACAAAACGTAGCACCCATCATGACTCCCTTGATGCTGGCAGCTTAAATAGAATCATAACCATGGGAAAAGGGGTAAATATATTGCTTCTTGAACTACAGGAAATAAAATGTTTATCTTGTAAAAATAATGCACCTTTCTAAAATTAGACTGGGTTTTTTACCATGTTAATACGGAATGACCTTTGCTTCTAGTACATCACACCCCAGTAAAAATAAAGAGAAAAAAGGCAAGATAATCAGACAAACTTGTAAAAAAATAGAAATAGCTATGATATACTGTACATTTTTATCTCCATAAACAGTCCTAACTTGTATTTCTATAATAAGAACTTGAATTTGCTAAGACAACAAGTTTTTCAAATAACTCTTAACTTTTATCACTTCTTAATTGGGAATGAAATCTAAAACATAAAAAACCCAGAATGGACAAGATGACCTATTTTTGAGCCCAAAGCAGGAAAAGCCCCTATAATGAAAGGCCTAATTCAAAGTAAAATTGCAGAGCATTATATTTCCCTTCACTGAAATTCTTGAATTACAAATAGAATGTATTGTTAAACTCTGCTGAGGCAAATTAATACCTAGCAGGTGTTTAATTATCCTTTAATAATTTATAACAATGTATTTTCCTCTTTCATATGTTGTTATACCTCATGAATATCAAATCAACTACTGTGGTTACATCTCTGTGAACTTGGAATGAGATTAGAATTGAGCCTGGAGTGACAAGAGTTACTAAGGAAAAAAATTAATGGGAAGAGTAAACAATTCCAGGTTGAATCAGTAGAAACAGTAATGAATTTTAAAAATCACTCAGAAAATTATCTTCTGCTTTTTCAAGTGACAAATACATGCATCAGAAAATTATGGTTTTTGATTTCCTTCTGTTTTCTCTCTTCAGTTGGACATTTCTGCGATATAAATGTAAAGACAGCACCTTGTCTCAAGGCTGCAAAACTCAACAGAACTCCAACTGTATTGCAGAAAATTTGGATAAGGCCTGTAAAGAATATCCTGAATTAGTCACTTCAACAGTTCCATTTTGCTTTAATCAACAGAAGCTGAATTAGGTAATTCAATAGAGTGCCAGTACCATTATCATTATTCCTCTTGAGCTCTACCTGGTTTGCACATGTGTATTACATCCAGTGAGACTGTGTGACTATAATTAAGTTTGTAGAATGTAGGCTTGAAATGCACAGAAGGATTTTGTTCCATGTATATGTAGATGGTTCACATCCATGATAAACTTAAGGGTTGTCACATTCCATATCTATCCTTAAAATAATACCTATGTACTTCTCTAAGAGTGTCCTTTTCAAAACGTATCAGCTCTGAACTCTACAGGCAGGAATTCTCTCTTTTCTGTGCTTTTACAATGCAGAGCATTCAGAAGGCTCCAGCCTTGGTGAGGATCTTTAGCCACTATCATGCTGTACATTACTGAATGAAGTTACAAGCGGTTGTCTCTTCTCTGAGCGTTATTGCTAAGCCTCTGATGGCCACGAGCTTATTTACACTGTTACCACACTACTACCATCTCCGTTGTGATTCTTCAAAAGACTTAGAGCACAATCTAAAATGGTTGAGATTCTCTCATGTTGTGGCCAAGTGCTCTCAACTCTGATTAAATTCTTTGGGAGGCAAGAAAATTCAGCACATCTTGTAGATTTGCTGCAACACAAGTTCTAATGACAAGTAACAATGACTATTTAAATCAAGACTGTGGAAAATGAGTCGTTATACCTACTACGGACTACATGCTGATCCCATATTCACTTGATGAACTTGTAACTGTACAAGAAGAGATTCTACTAAAATTATAGAGGTTATAAAAGAGAACAGAAGGAGCATGCATGAAATCAGGCCTGTGCCTCAGGGGTGAAAAGATTAGTAACAGAGTAATTTTTCTTTTTATGAATGAATTTAGAATATAATTTCTTACAAAGAGTGACTTTACATTTTTATATCTTCAATAGCATTTTTTAGAAACTTAAACCAGATGTTTATATTTAAACAAGAACTAAGCTGGAAATCAAAACTCAGCTTGCAAAACCTGTGTGTTAAAGAAGGCACGTAGGTGACCAGGAAGAAAGAAAATAATGGGTTTTATTGATTCTTATGCATGTAAAATTAATCCTTAACTGGATGAGTGAAATCTCCAAGATAAAAAAGTTAATTCCTGTGATTTGAAAAGTCCATTGAGGGAAAATATGTTTTAAATATGATTAAATCTTAAAACCCTTTGGATTTAAAAAAAAATTTTGGTTTAAAACCCTGAATCATCTTGTATTTTATAGTTGCTGCAAAGTGAGAAAAGCTTCTGTATTGATTGTAACCAAATGGAAACAGGGAAATCACTGTATTTTTGGTAAGAATTATATTTTCAAGTTTTATATAAGCATGTATTTACCACTGTGATGTGAATTTTAATCCACACACAAAAAATCAGTGAATGAACATGAGTGAATAGTATCTAATGGTACCTACCAGGAAGCATCGTGGATTGTTCTTGGAATTGTTTCAAAGCATCCTTCAATCTCTCAATATCCTGTAGCAATACAAGGGATTTCAATCGATGTAGATGAGTCACATCTGAGGAAGAGATGGTGCGAGATTCAAGAAATTGTAAGAGCTCTTGGGCAGTTGCTGAATTTACAGCAGTATCTGTGCATTCTGATTTCTCTGGAAAAACAATTGGAAAACTATGTTAAAATGTTCAGTGAGCACAGAGAAAAATTTTCCTAATTATACTTCCTTTTCAAAGAGAGCATCTTCCTAAGTATCAGGCACTAAAGAGCAACTTGCTCCTCCCACTTTTTGTTAAGTATAAAAACAATGGTAAGAGAGGAAAACTACAAAATTCAATAAGTAAAAAGGACAGTAGGATTCAAAATGACAGGAATGCAAGAGCAATCTAAATTTTCAAATTTAGCAGAGGAAGAAGGTGTGATGAAGAAACTGTACAGTGGCCAAAGCACTGTGGTTTTGCTTCCTACACATTATGTTTTTCAAAAACGCTCACACATTTGGAGACAGGGAAACTGTGGAACTACTGCAAATCACTTCTGGAAGCAACCAATTATCTTGGTATTGGCACGTGTATGTTTTCATTTAAAAAGCAGGTATAACAGCATGCAAGACAGCAGAGAAGGGCATGTATTGTTTATACTTCTTCCATTCCAGTAGAGATGTAGTCTGTCCCTTTAACTAGACTTCCTTTAATTCTTCTGTTTTTTACCAGCAAGCCAATTGAGAAGAACAGAATTTTCCCGATTCAGCTTTTTAACATACATACTAGAAGTATAATCCAATGTGACTATTTGAAAATGCTGCTAAAAGCAATGGTTTCCAATTTTATCTAAAAGAAACAGGGAGTGTTAAAGTCATTCAACCAGAAAAGGCAAACAGCATAATGTCAAATCTATATATAAACTATGATTTGCCTAAGAAGAAAGTTAGTCACACTCTGATTTGTGGATGTTGCATCTTATCTGCAGATGAACTTCCTTTTACCTATGAATTCCTCTCTGTGGATTCCAAGGTCCTCACTGGCTCAATACTGATCTGCCAGTTTGAAACCAGGGCCAGTCAGTCTGTCAAAAACTGCCAAAACCTGAACTTGACTTCCAGGAAAGCTGGAAGCTCAACAACACTCTTTCTTGAAATTCAAGATGTAACACAGCTGGTGGACAGCTGATCAGGTTTCTGTTCTGTTCATGCACTAACAGCAGAACCTGAAGAGTCTGCAATCTTTCTCAGTTACTCTGGTGTTCTATCACAGCAAACAAATGTTATTTAGCTTACATTTACGTAGCCGTACAGTGAAGTAGTAAAATTCTTATTTTTGGTGATGGAAATACATGAGCCAAAAAGTAGGACAGATTTCCAATGGTAGGCTTAGTATGAAGACCTGACACAGCAGAAAAATTTAACAGTGAGCAAAGAAAATTCTACGTACAAATCTTGAAAAAAAAAACCCACGAAATCCCTGATGTCAGCCTAACAGGGTGTTTAAAGTAATTCTGTGGTCTAAAGATGAATTTTACGGGACTAGGAGCCAAGAGCTCTGACTTAAGATGGACTCATACAGATACATACACTGTTTAATATTCTCCATTCAGCTCCACAGTGACCAGATGAACATTCAGTGGGCCATTAGGGATAACATCCATGCAATCCTTTTAAAAGTACTATGGAATATGCATCAAGCAGTTCCCATTCATCTTGTTCAGAAGTGCTTTATGCCAATACACTTTCCCAGTGCCAACAGTATCCTGCCCTTTCCTCTTGCATGCTGTCTAGATTTCCTTATATAATACAAATAAATCTCCTCCTGGGAAAGAGAACATTCTGAAAAGTAGGTTGGTTCAGAGATGCTAAGTATGAAAGTAGTTTAGGATGGCAATTGCCCTCATTTGAAGTTCTCTGAAAGGAAGTAATCCTTCTGGATGTTTGCTTGCGGAGGAAAGAAGAATTTGGCCCATTTTAACCACTTGCCCTGAGTGCTTTGGAACGTTTAAGAAAAGAGCTAGGAATATCACGTATATTTTCAAAGACAGAGAAACAAAGAACCACAGGTTTTTTTCTATTGATGTCGATTCTTACATATTCATGTACACATCAGAAAGTGGGACAAATACTAAGCACTCACGTCTTACTGAGTTCAAGAGAGACACTTCTCTAGTAGATTTGTCCCATTTTACAGCATTAATAAATGCTGCAGGTCATTTTCCCCTGCATGGTAATACTTATGAAAAGAGAGGAGAAAGAGTGGTACATACTGTCAGCAAAATAAATTTGTTGTGTTGCCTGCAGGAAGTCCAGAATGCTATCTGCCTTTTCATCTATGTCTTTTAAGCCTGCTGCTTCTTCTCTGTTGTTTTTGTCAGGTTGATATGTAAAATCCACACTGGTAGTTTTTGTTACCAAGCCAGCTGCTCTCTTTTTTTCTTTCTGTCGCTTCTTTTTCATTTTCCTCTTTTTGTTTCTGCTTATTTTGGGACTGTCTGTCTGCTGCAGCTGTAAATTATCTTGAACAAGAGTCTCTTGCATTCCACAATCTGTTTGTTCTCCATGTAAATTATTAGAGATTTGCAAACTGCTCTTTTGTTTCTTCCTTCGAACGCACTTTCTCTTGGTTTGCCCTTGATATTCCTCTTCTGCGGATTCAAAAGAGACATGAAAGCTGTAAATAAGATGATCTGTAATAAGCATTTTAGAACTGAGAACAATGAAGTATTACACCCTTCAAATTCTGGGATGCCAGAGTGGCTCTAACCTTACTTTTATGATCAGAATGTCTTTCAGTACTACAAAGTCAAACTTTTCTAAATGCATTGAGTAAGAAGACAAGGGCTTTTCCCTTCTGCTTTCGGTAATGTCTGTACTCTCCTTTGTGCTACATACTTTACATTGCATTTACTTTCTTAAAGCAGATAATATGGTTCTATACAGAGTGAGGTCAAAAGAATCCCCCCAAAAAAAGCAGTATGTGCAGTCTGTGGGACTCGGCATTAGAGAGAGGTTCCCAAGGAGTCCACCCCCACCAGTCTGTAGACTTGACCAAGAATGCAAGGAGAATGCACATAATTTACAGAGAAAGCTGATGGTGTTTATATTGATGATATGCATTCACAACAGTGTGGTGCTTTAAAAACACCAGGCATCTGCTTCTGGCTCATCTACTTTCTCCTTAAACATCTTCCTCCTTTGGGATATCTTAGTGTTAGCTCAGTTTTGGACATCAACTTTATGGGAAAAGCAACAGTGACCTCGGCAAGTAGTCTCCAATCTCTTTAACCGCCTGCCTCGGTTCTGTTGTTCCCCAGCTACATTATAATTTCCTTACTAGTTAATTTTTCAAAAGGCTCAAATGTCACAGGAAATAAGTCTCTTTTGCCCTCCAAGACAGCTTTTGTGCTTCTTTACTCAGATCTTATCCCTGTACACATAGCAAGTCATCTCTGACCCTGAATGATTGCTTCTCCCACACACTCACTTCTGAGTGTTAGCCCTCCTAACACGAGCCAAGGAAGACTGCCAGAACTCATCTTCCCTTTGAGTGCACTGCTGCTGAAGTCCATATTCATGTCTGCAATAATTCCTGTCTAACTGAAATTGCCTCCTTCATGGTCTAACAAAATCCTCACACATTTAAACATCACGGAGTGCAGAATACCAGTGTTCTTCTATGTATTGAGTTTCCATGGCAAGAATTTGGTCATGGTGGGGGTTACAGCGGTGACTTCTGTGAAAAGTTAATCGCCAGAAGCTTCCCTTATGTCCGACAGAGCCAATGCCAGACGGCTCCAAGACAGACCCACTGCTGGCTGGCTAAGGCTGAGCCCATCAGTGACAGTAGTAATGCCTCTGGGATTAACATAGTTAAGAAGGGGAAAGAAGTTATTGTGCAGAAGTAATTGCAGCCAGTGAGACTATGTTGGAGAAACAACTCTGCAGACACCAAGGTCAGCGCAGCAGGAGAGGGAGGAGGTGTCCAGGAGCTGGAGCAGATTCCTCTGCAGCCCACGGTGCAGAGCATGGTGAGGCAGCTGTGCCCCTGTAGCCCATGGAGAAACACGGTGGAGCAGAGATCCACCTGCAGTGGTGTAGGACTCCACACTTGAGCAAGTGGAAGCCCAAGGGAGGCTGTGGCTTCATAGGAAGCCCACACCAGAGGAGGCTCCTGGCAGGATCTGTGGCCCTACGGAGAGAGGAACTCACACTGGAGCAGGTTTGCTGGCAGCACTTGTGGCCCTGGGGAGGACTCACACTGGAGCAGTCTTTTCCTGAAGGACTGCACCCATGCTGGAGGGGTCCTGACGAGACCCAATGTGGAGCAGTTCATGAAGAACTACAGCGCATGCAAAGGACCCACGCTGGAGAAGTTCATGGAGGACTGTCTCCCATGGGAGGAACCTCACGCTGGAGCAGCGGAAGGACTCCTCTCCCTGAGAAGGAAGCAGCAGCAGAAACATGTAATGAACTGGCTGTAACCCCCATTCCCCATCTCCCTGCACTGCTGTGAGGGAGGTAAAGAACTGGGAACAAAGTTAAGCCTGGGAAGATGGGAGGGACAGGGGGGAGGGTGTTTATAAGATTCAATTTTACTTCTCATTATCCTGGTCTGATTTTGATTTGTAGTAAATTCAGTTGATTTCCCCAAGCAGAGTATGTTTTGCCTAGGTGAGTGATGGTAATCGGTGAGTGATCTCTCCCTGCCCTTAGCTCATGAACCTTTAGATTTATTTTCTCTCCCCTGTTCAGCTCAGGAGGGAACTGATAGAGTGGCTTTGGTGGGCACTTGGTGCTCAGCCAAGGTCAAACTACCAATTCTAATGTCTTGCTCTAGAAAGCTAAGCCATTTATCTTTCCCTCAACCTCTACCTCCATGTTTCTAAATTCCTCACAGTGCACTGAGCCTAGTACTCTTATTTATCTGGGCTTACAACGTTCCCTTAGGGTCAAAGAATCTTTGCTTGGCTAACACTGGTGTAACATAGGAGAGACACCTGAAGCCCAGTGCCTGTTTCAGGATGATATGCATAATCTCCTGAACTGCCTCTGACATTCTCAGCTTGTTTGATTTTCTCATCACTCCTCCCCCTAACCAGTCTTTGCCTCTATTTTCTCCATGGTTGGAGGCCCTCTCTTTCATTTCTGTTTCTTTTTCTGTCTTGAACTCTGTCAGCTCTGAGCCACTTTCTCTTTAAATATCACTAGAGACTTGTAGTTCTTTAGCTGTCAGATGACTCACACTGCAAAGCAATTTTCCATACTTTCAATGAAGGCAGGTTGCATAAAAATAAATTTGCTGTATTATAACTGAACACCACAGCATGTTAAAGACATGCCAAACGTCACCCTGGACCCACAGTGTGGAATGTTTCACACCCATGGTATTTGAGTTAAATATCTTTATATGTGATTTGGACATATGGGATGTGGGAAAAATAACATCTGTGTCATCTTGAAGGAATAAAATATCAGAACCGAAGGCAGATATGAATGGTGAAAGATGCTATAAACAAAACCACTGTTTCATCTTGAGATCTAATTTGGATTTTCATGAGAGTATTTGTATAATAGGTGAATTTCAGTGTAAACGTTGATACATTGTTTTGTGAAATTCCTCAGTCCTCTATTAACCTGAAGCTCACTGTTTGCTAATAACGCTATTTTAATCTATGCTCTCAGCAAAGCGGCCTAACTTACTCTTTAAGCATCTGAGAATCACCAGTTCTCAGCAAAAGGACAGCATGTTGTGCAGCCAAGCACCCTCAATTGGGTTTGAAACCACTTGAAAAAAACAGTGCAGAAGCCAGGACAGGGCTTAAGATAATTGATGTTTTGTGTCAAATCCAAAAGTTTCCTTATCCTAGGTAGCTCAGGACAGCAGAAGGTCTGAACAGACCACAGTGAAGCTCTCAAAAGGCAGAATGAATGTAGCCTTCCCATGTGTAGCTATTAAGATAACTATCTGACTGAAAGTAAACAAGAACTATGCTGACTTTCCTACAACACGGGAAAAAAAAATCAAACATAAGACTCTACCACCCTACCTAAGTTCTCCTGAGGAGTTAAGTGTGGCAGTCCCTTAGCAGTTTTTGTCATTCTTTGTCCTGTATTTTAGTGTCTGTTTATTATCTACGGTTTCATGTGTGGGAGCTACTAGTGATTCAGCACCAGGAACAGATGAAATTAGATGCTTATGAATGCAAAACAATGCACACAAAAGGGATTAATTTGAACAACCTACTGCTAGGGCTACAGTGAACTGTTATCAGCTCAAGAAAAACAAAAGCCAGACCTGTGCATCAGTATGGAAAGCTCAGTGAAAACATTTGCTCAGTGGGTATCAGTGATCAAAACAGCTAACACCTTGTTTGCATACATAAGAAAGGAGATAGAAAATAAGTAGAAAAATATTCCAAAGCTATTATATAAACCTGTTGTACTCTTCAAGCTTGTAATACTGTGTTTCTTAGCATAATCCCCGAACAAGACGACTTTGGCAGACAAAAGGAGGACTCTTACAGAAGTTACCAGAGAAAAAAACTCCAAAAAGGTTTCTATTATTTGACTTGAAAGAAAAAGTAACAAAATAGACTTCATTTCTGCCTCCTCATGCAAGAGCAAGGTGACATCCAATTAACCTGAGCAGTTTCACAAGCTAACAGAAGAAAGTAAATCCTTGTTTTACTAATGATACAGTTTGCTATTGAATTCCCATGTGTGTGGCATGCACAGGAGACTCAAGAACTGGCTGTTCTTACAGCCAGCAAGGCTACATGATTGTAACAGCCATGCTAAAATATAAATAAGAGTTGTACAAGGAACATAAACCATAAAGTTTAGGTCACGGTTCCACACAATGATCTCACCAAGTGACATGTTCAGTGGGATTCGCTCCCACAGCTTTAGCTGTCTGAAAATACTCAGTGCATACTTAGACCTCTGCCCCCTCTGATAACCCAAGAGACACTACCATCTTCAGAAAACAGTTTACCTCATCCTAAACCAGCCTGGATGGAAACGCAACCTGAAGGACTTAATCTCTTTCTCTCTCCCCTTCTGTTAACCACAAAGAAAATGGAGACAATAAATTTTGACTGGAGGGAGGCTTGCAACAACTGAGAAGAATTAGTTTCATTTATAGAAATTATTGATATGGAGGAAGGTGTTTCTTAACATGAGTCCGCTCATCTGACTGACTTCCGCTAATTAACAAAATCCACTGTTTTATTAAAAACATCCAAACAAAACAAACCAACTTTTGACGGATTCTCTACATTTCAAACCAATAGGGAAGCCTGATAAAATTTCAATAGATACAAATTTGGTTCTAATAATTTGTCCCACTGATGGAAAGTGTTTATTATGTTAAAGCTCCATAATTATAACAAATGCAGGGAATATATACTATGCAAGCAATCTTAGTATGTTGAATAAGTACTTCAGCAACAACAGGAATAGCAGCTTTTGGGCCACACTAACTTCGGCCACAACTGTACCTACAGCTTGTCCTAATTCCAAAAGAGTTGATGATTCTTCCCCTATTCCATAATGCCCCGTCACCTCTCTCCCTCCTAAGACCCATCTCTGCTCCACAAGTCACTTAATTGATCATGTAATCTAATTATCCAGAAGCATTGACTCT